CCTGAGCTTACCGAGCCACGGAGGACAGCAGTATGTGGTGTAGTAGAACACACAAATATCGTCAGATGTGGATTCTTACACAAACCACAACGAATCGCCGAGTTAGGTCGGCGGTTTGTATGGCCTGCGCAGAGGGTGGTCCCCTCGCGGTCCCGGCCCTTCCGGGACAGACGAGTGGCTCGCTTCCACTCGGTTCCGACTAACCAAGTCAGATCACTTCCGAGGCTCCGCCGAGTTTGGTTCGGCTGAGCTCGTTCACAACCCTGTGCCCTCCACCAAAGGATGGACGACGGCGCGCGAGCGCTTTTACAGGTCACCGAGCGCAGAGGCAGCTCAGCTAGAAGTGTTACGGCACCCGGGCTATCCGACGTACCGGCCCGCTGAGTATGCGGGACTTTCTTTCGCGCGTAGCGAGACTTTGTCCTACCCGGACCGACCTTATCTCTTGGCGCTACCAGTCAATACCCTACAAGCTATGCCTCTCGAGTATTGACGGCAGGCATAATCCAGCCCTATGCAGGGACTTACCGGAAAAGTGTACACGTGTCTTGGACTAGGAAAATTCTGCTCTGTTATCTTCTGGGAGCCTTTTCGGCTCCTCCTATTTAATCCTATGCTTCTCATACAAATATCTAGTGAAATGTAGTCGTTTCGGATCTCTACCGACTCTTCAGCTGAGTTCCGGCGGCCGTTGAGCTCAGCGGCTATCCGGATAGCATATCCGGACAGATCGCCGAGTACTTACCGTGATCCTTGGCTCCTAAGCTCTGGGTTATCAGACCGAGCCGATTCTTGACCTAAAGTAGGTCGGCGTATGGTCGAATCTGGAAATCCCTACACCACAGTTGCCGCTAGCACATCAAGTGCTGTTGCCGGATTGAAAGTGGGTACAGCACTGTCACTAAATTCACTCACATGAGAAACATTGTTTATGGCTACAGCCATATCACTATAGTACCCCTCTTTAGTGACACTGGATACACGTGCAGCGTCGGCGCGTGCTGCACCATCGTCAGCCACGCGTCCTCCCGCAGCCACGCCGCCCCCGCCGCGCGCCTTGTCGCTGCTGGGGTCCCTGGCACTTTCTCCCGTCGATGATCCCGCCGCCGAGTCTGCTGAACTGCACGCCAGCGCGCCTTTGCCCGCTTCCGCGCTCGAACTTTGGCAGCCGTGGACCGATTTCTCTTCACCATAGGGAATGGCCTGCTGTCCGCGTCCGCCGAAGTCGCTTGACCGTCCACGATGGCCTGCACTAGAGCCCGTGCCTTCCAAGACGAGCGTCCGCCGTAAGGTCAAGGCAGGGCAGCAACTAGCGCTTCCCTGGCGAACTTCGTTTTGATTGATTTTATGCTCAACCTCTTATCCCGTATACTCTGTGAGTTATGTAAATATGCAGGGAGGCCGTTAGTGTATAGCACTTCACATAACAGAGCACAGCAAACCTCCCTATACAAATACCTCTGTAGCTCACTAAAGGTATACCAGGAGGCAGTCTAATTATGGTACCACCAGCCATTCTTGCAGCGGCATGACACCACCGCTGCTCGCTACTCTAATATATCTTCTTCTTTTCTCGTCTTTTTCTCAAGTACTCCTACGCTCTCTACGATACCCGTCATAACATTTAAATCTAGAATACTTTCTGGAGAATGGGAGCAGAGCTTGGCTGCTCAAAGATTCATTAAATTACTGAAGTATTTACGCGTAGTACTGATTCAAGACGCAGCGGTACTGTTTCAGAACCTCCCTACTAGAATACAGCAACATCAGTTATTTGGTGAACGTTTTCAGTAGTATCGAACTCAACTTTTGGCTGCCATCCAGTCAGCTCAGGACCTCATCGAGTCGCAACCTTAATTATAATAGCTTTGCCTCACCTCTCTGAGCAAATTAGAGCCCAACACGCAGCAGTCATGGATAAAGTAGAAGCAAGGCATCTCGATGCGATGAAGCAAATGCAGCAGATGCAAGGACAGCTCACCTCATTTCTTCATGGCGAGGTAGCCTTCCGGTTAATGCCGCTTCCTAATAACAGTGCAGCACTGAACAGTGATGCATGTACCTTGGTACGTGAGGGTACATTCAGCATCAAAGTAGAACTTACTCAGCAGCAAGTGTCACCGTCGGTCTGTCACCCTGTTCAATGTACGCAAGTCATGGGGTGAATGGCACGAATAATTGGTAAACCAGTTTTCTATTGAAACGCTAGAGCGCACGTATGGAACAAAGTGGCGATCTTCTGCAAACAATCACAGTTCTTTTTGAGACGCTTGTTGATCATCCAGTACGTCCAACGTTGTGTGCGAAGCGGGCGGTCTGTCCAATCCTCCATCGAAAATGCTGATTGTGAACGTGGTCGGAGAAGTATCGACGCATTTTCGAAATGGCTACGCAATAATGATCGCGACAATAAGAATAAGTTTCTATTTGGTTTAAACAAAGTACAATGCTTACCTTGACGTGGACCATAACTGATCTTGAGTTTAAATTAGCAGCTTGCTTCGGAAAATTTAGATCATAATGCAGCCATGATAGAAGCTGATACATCGGAGTTAGCAAAACGACGCTGTGTATCACGGCGGACGTATGGGCTTGCACTAAAAACGAATCCGCCGTCTGGGCTGGGGTACAAGTGCGTGATGAACTTGCAGCAACAGTGCTCCTTGCGCGACCGAGCACCACAGCAGTGATAGAATCCACTTAGCGCTCGAAGTCGTCTAGACGTCCGTGTCTGGGGTACCCCTGACGCCGGTGATGACACCGGTGGCGCTGTGGTATCAGTACACGCAGTGCTCGTCGGCGCCTTAGCCATGGCAGTGGCCATCTCAGACGCGGGCGGTGTTCGTACCGACGCTGCTTGGGTTGGATCTGCAGTGGCTAGAGCTTGCGTCGAAGTCGTGAATCTGGGCGTGGCGGTGGCCGAGGAGGATCTTCTGTCGTGGCGTTGGAGAAGGACGCTGCCGCACCGTTGCATGCCACCACATGCACGCCTTGATTGTAGCTCTGATAGACCTCATAAGTCAGCCTCAAGCTCGTATTCCGCGCTGCGTCCACATGGCAGCTTGTCATGCCGTGTTTACTACTGCTTGCTCTATCGGCAAAGCTAACCACAATTTTTGTGACAAATCTTCCACTGAACACATCGTATTTAGGTCATGACCTACTGTAAGTGCTGGTACGTGCAGATATTAAGTCAAACCCACCTGTACATCCAGATACCAGGTCCTCAGGTCAGGACTTGCTCGTGACTCTTTGCATTTTACTTTTATATACCTGAGTAGTGGTGCGCAAGTGATCCAATTGAAGAATGAACCCGACGACAACTGTAAGAGATTTACAAACCATCTTATCGGTAGTAATCCCTAGACTTTGGTAAAGTATGGTTTCCACATTCATTTAAATACAAACAAACAAATACATTAATGAGATCTTAAGCGATGACCAACAGCTCGAGGGACGAGGAGAGGTGTCCATGAATCAGCGAAAAAAGCAAAATAAAAGACTCAGGGTTTGTAAGGAGGGTGATGCGCTCCGGCTTAAGTGCGAAATGTCAGATATAAAAAAACACATATTTCTTCAGATAGGGCTACCGAACTATGGAGGCTTCGTTTGTCTTTTGAACTCAGGCTAAACTGTGATTTCTGGTCTAGGATAAAGGACAAAACAAACAAATGATTTGTTATTAATGGTACACATGAGCGTCCAATCTCGCAAAACGGTAGACATCATGATGAGCATACCCGGGATAGAATCCGTAAAGGGCTTTATGGAGAACCGTGTAAATGATGGTATTTCTACCAAGCCAAGGCGCTAGCTTTTGGTCCTCTTTTTGTCCTTTATTGTCAAGGTATTGGGGTTAACCACGTGCTTTTGTTATCTACCCTACCCAGCGACAGAACTGATTCATTTTTTTAAAAAGGCTTTTTTGACAGAACTCCGCTTGGCTGGGTTAAAATAAACGAGTTTATCTTATTGTACGTTTCATGCATTTTGGCGGAGACCTTGCTTATCTCAACGACTTATCAAAGTTGGAACAGCGATTTAGTCACTTGACGAGTAACATATTTAAGGGGGTTGACGACTTTGAGGACGAGTTGGGCTCAGATAATAACGAATGGCGGACATTCGAACCGCCATTCGCTGTCTAAACGCATTAAAGTCTCTGATATCAACTGCTCAAGGCTCTGACAAGCATGACCAAGTCAAGTGATCTTCGTTGGCGGGCGGTATCATTGATACATGTTTACGACGTTGATATCGCGCATGTTGCAAGCATTCTCGGTGTATCGAAAAGGTCCATAGAGAGGTGGTATGGGTGGTTTCTCAATCGAGGTACTGTCGAAGGAAAGGGTCGGAAGCAACGCACGTCAAGATGGCCGCAAAACGTGTGCCAATTTGTTCGTGAATATGCTCAGTCTCACCCGTGTTTCTACATCGACGAGCTGCGGTCAGCACTGAGAGCTCGCTTCCCTACACTGAGAAATACATCCGAAGCTACTATTTGTAGAGCTCTCCGCTTCGACCTGCACCTCACGCGCAAGGTGCTCAGCAAACGGGCAAGGGAGGCAGCTCCGGCGGAAATTGCGGTGTACTACAATAAGCTACTTCCATTTTACAATGGACCAGAGCAGCTCGTCTTCTTGGACGAGACAGCGAAAGCCGGTCGTGACTGTATGCGTCGGTACGCGTGGTCGCCGAGGGGTATTCCTGCCGTGGTGGACCTGCCGTTTAGACGGGGTGAGCGTGTCTCCGTGCTGGCTGCAATGGATACAACAGGTTTTTTTGCTTGGGAAATGACGAGGGGGACGTTCTCGCGCAGAGAGTTCCACAAGGCTTTTAGTGAAAAGATTGCACCATTGTTAAATCGGTGGCCTCTTCCTAGAAGTATTGTAGTTCTTGATAACGCAAAGATACACATCTATCGTGAACTGGAGGAATTAGTACACTCAACGGGTGCTCTACTCTTCTTTCTACCTCCGTATTGCCCACAATTAAATCCTATAGAGGTGTCATTCTCTCTACTCAAGCAATGGATCATCAACCACGCCAACATGGCATTCCAAACTAACCCCGAGGCCGTATTAGAGGTTGCATTACGAGATTGCACTCGTTCTAACGATTCTATAGGTAAAAATTTGTATCGAAAATGCGGATATTCAATAGATTTAGTTAGGTATGTATTTGACGATAGAGCAGATAGTACTAGATAAGTTATACTACAGCTTGCCTTCCATCATCGTCTACTCCGTCTTCTTTTATGTCTTCGTCGAAGTCGTCCGCTCTGTCATCTTCTACGTCAGCATGATCTAAATCGACTGCATCTTCGGGTACGGCAACGGTACGTACTGCTCGTTCGCGAAACGGCGGCCGGAGATCATATCCTGGTAAACCCAAAACTGCCCGAACCTCTTGGATGTTTAGGTCGATAGGTACTAGCACGCCGTTAATCATGATATGGATACGACGAGTCTCCGCATTTGCTGCGCTTGTCGCCGCCGCAACTTCGTGCTGGTGTTGTCGAGCGCGAGCGTCAATGTAGTTTAGCTGACGGAAGGTCTCGTTGTTCGGTTGAACAACTGGAGCATCGTCATGTTGCCGCGCTTGTACAGTTGCCCAGTACTCGAGCGATGCTGGCCCTGGGGCCTCTCGGTTTTCACTTCTCAAGGTCTCCGCTATATTGCGAGAGGCCTGGGCCATACGGACAGCTGTTGCCCGATGGATTGGGTTTGATTTTTTGACCCGGTTGACGTACATGAACAGAGCTAGCCGCTGGCTTGGGCTCTTTCTTCTACCCCACACCTTCCGCAATAGCTGTGAGAACGCTTCTGCGTCCTCGGGTAGACGCTTGTAGTCACTTTGTCGGGCGTTCACAGTGGCTTTAATGTAGACGCCAGCATCCGCTGGCCAAGTCACAGCCGAGTCGTCCTTCACCAAGAGTCGCAGCTTCTCCTTAAGTACTGCGTACCCTTCTTCAACCGAAAAAGTCATAGCACGTCGCGATCCGTGAACCGCTCTACAGTCTGCTAGAGGCTCTCCGATCTTAATAGTCACCTCTGCGTCGCACTCGTGGCGAAGCTCGCGTAGAGCAGCCTCTATTCTCTAGTTGCTCTCGATGATGAAACTTTTCGTCTGAATAAAGAAACAACGAGTTGGTCGTTTTATGGAAAGCGATTTATGTAAATAGCAACAACGACTTAGACAGCGAATAGAGCGCGCAAAATCAATGAAGTGGACAATACTTCCTAGTAAGCTTCACAAAAGTAGGCTCCAAAAAGTGCAATACCGGTAGAGGTTTGAAAGGGATACCGTACTTTTCAGTTAGTTCAGTACCGGTAATTAATAACGGTCTTCCTGCAATAATCCTGGTAACATGTTATCTTGAAGAGCTGCAAGCCACCACCGCCACACGAATGATAATGGAAGCGTTCGTGTGGCGGTGGTGGCTTGCAGCTCTTGTTGTCATCTAATCTTTTTATCTGGGTAATCCTGGTCATCCAATCTGTCGGCTTGGTTTTGACGGGAATGTTCGTCAGCCAATCAGAGGCCAATGACGTCGCTGTACCTATCTTCAACTGGTTCGATGCTCGCCATGATGCACTGCACAGTCTTTCATTCCAGAATTCGCTTTAGCACCATCAAGCTCAGCATTTAAATACTCCGGAGTATGGCAGTAGGAACGTTGACCCGAGTGGCATACGTTGAAAATGCCGATTTCTCTGGCGCAAATGATGCCGTGACCGAGATGCTAAGTACCGTAAACGAGTTCAAGACCCTCGGGTTTGCGACCATCGAGGCTGCCATTGCTGCCGTGAAGAAAGACGACGCAGAGCTCGTTGTTGTTCCTGTGGAGACAGCAACACGCGGTAGTTGCTATGAGACGTATGATCTCCTGCTCAAGTACGACCTGGCGGTTGTGGGCGAATCTGCGGGCCCGACCAGGTTCTGGACGGTAGCCAAGACGTCTGTGGAGCCTTCACTTAAGGCTGCAGCGTGCAAGACGTCGCTTGCATTCGCATTTGCATCGGGCAATGCTCATGGCCAGTTGTACCGTGCGTTGGACATGTTTGCGTCGCGCGAAATCGACCTGACCAAAGTCGAGAGTCGTCCATGGAGTAGCGCGCATCCGAGTGCTGGCAAGGCTGAGTTCATCTTCTACGTGGATCTGAAGGCTCGTCAGAGTGACGCAAAGGTTGTCGAAGCCATCGCAAGTTTGAGATCCATGTGCTCGTACGTCCGCGTGCTTGGATGCTACGCCAGCGGTGTATTGGAAGCGACAAACGGTGCTCCTAACGCTTCGACACAGGAGTTAACCATGGCACAGAAGTATCCCCTGAGCCCAGTGTTTGATACCACAAAAATTGCTAAGACTCTTGCAGTATTCGGCGTGACGAAGCAGATGGAAGCTGAGGGAAAGTCTGTCTACTCGCTGTGTGTGGGCGAGCCTGACTTCCAGCCGCCCAAGCGTGTCTTGGACGCTGGAATCCGAGCGATTCAAGAGGGCAAGACCAAGTACTGCGATATGCGCGGCATGGCTGACTTGCGTGAGATCATTGCGAAGTACCTTAAAGTTGCAAAGGGTGTGACATATGACCCCAAGGAGGTCCAGGTGTGCGGTGGTGCTCAGCAGGCTCTATACAATGTCATTCTTGCCATTCTACGTCCTGGTGACAAGGTCTTACTGCCGTCGCCGTACTGGGGGAGCTACGAAGGTATCCTCGCTCAGGTCAAAACGCAGATGGTTCAACTACGCAACACTCTGGAAGAAAACTACCTGATTAACCCGGTGAAGCTCGAGGAGACATTGACTGCGAACCCTGAGATCAGAATTCTCATCCTATGTAACCCGAGTAACCCTGCAGGTACTCTTCACAGTCCCGAGCAACTCGAGCAGATTGCTGCAGTTCTGCGTAAGCCTCAGTTCCGTCATGTTATTGTCATCTCGGATGAAATCTACGAGCAACTTGTGTACCAGGACGAAGGCGCTTCTAAGCGAGTTTGCAAGAGCTTTGCTACGATCCCCGGAATGTATGAGCGCACGGTGTTGATCAATGGGTTCTCCAAGGCGTACGCTATGACTGGCCTGCGAATTGGCTACATGGCTGGTCCTTCGCACTTTATTGAGCCTTGCTACTTGATGCAAGGACAGCTGACATCCTGTGCAAACAGTGTGGGTCAAGTGATGGCCATCGAGGCCATGAAGATGGAGCTGGATGCGATTGAAAAGGGCGAAGTTCGTGTTGCTGAAAACTTGCACGGGCTGGACTTGAAGCGTCAGTACATCGCTAAGCGCCTCCAAGCGATGACCAACGTGCGCTTTGCATATCCGACGTCGTCATTCTACGTTTTCGTAGACCTTGGCTTGCTTTTTGAGGGCAAGAAAGCCTACACTGCCGAAGGTGAGGAGATTCACAATGTCGACGACTTCTGTGACTATTTGATCCGCAAGAATGGAGTCGCAGTGGGACCCGGATCCGACATGGGCGAGCCTCACGGGCTGCGGATTTCATACGCTGGTTCTATGGACACAATGATTCACTCCATGGATGGCTTGGACGTTGCGTTGAAGTCATTGACCTTCAAGTAGGCTGACACTCACGTGTGATAAAACTGTATACAGATAGAAAGGAGGCAATGGATAACACGGTGTGTTGATTTAGTTCAATGGCTCTAGTACAAGTAGCTCGTACGGGAGCCATCACAGTCGACACATGATTGGGGACAAGGGGCTGTGGAATACACCACCTTCACCCTCAACGTTTCATCGTGTGCGACTGTAGTAATGTTGGAATGAGACCAGCGACCTACATACCGTGGACAAAAGCACGAGGCTCTGCTTGTTAGCCAACACGCCAGCGGAAGTTCCGTCGAAGACAACAGCGTGCAAAACGTCGCTCGCATTTGCTTATGCGTCGAGCAATATCACGGTCAACTGTGTACCAAGTGTTGAGCACCTTTCGGTCTCGTGAAATCGAATTGAGAGTCGTCCTTGGAAAACCATCGACCCGGGTGCTAAGCTACGAGTAGTTTGTTTACCAAAAAAGCCTTCGCTATGATTCCAGACATGTGCCCCATGCTACTACATGTACATCAAAATCAAAAGCATTCAAATTCTAGCAAGAATCCTACAAATGATTTACTACGTAGTTCCTTAAAACTGCTTAGTGTTCGTCTCACACTCGATAGCAATCAACCAGATTGCACGTTGTGTAGAGGAAGAGAGGCAGCACTAAGTTGTCAATCTGTGCAGTTGCCGCTTCTAACACGGTCGTCAAGAAAACTGCAGCAGTAAGCAGAATCACCTATATCGATCGAAGAAACAATGCAATCATAAGTGCTAAGAAAGGCCTCGTGACAAAGTTGATGTTCGTACCTGCGTGTAGTCTCCGTTGACGAAATAACGCGTGTGATAGTTCTGAAGCGATATCGACGCAAGTACCATCGTAATAAATACTGCGACCGATCCTTCCACGGTCTTGCTGCCGAAGATTTTGTGTTTACCGATGCGTGAACCCACTACAGCTCCCATTGCATCTCCGATACCCAGCGCCAGAACTCCAGCATTCATTACAAGTGGAGAAGACGCGCTTGAAGAAGGTACAAGCCACAATGGCAATGCACATCCGAGTAGCAGATACGAATGGGTCAAGATGACACGTCCAGCTTCGCGATGATCGATAAACGACCTCATAAACTTAGCGATTGTGCGACCGAAAGGTGGTAATGATAACGCACGAACGCACTCCACGAGGCAAAAGACGCTAAGAGCAACGCCGTAGCTCAGCGATAGCATGGGGGCATCAAATAGTGATGCTGGTCCCAACATCAGTACCACCAAAAGGTGGAATAATTTTCTTGCCACAATGTTGCGAAGCGCGAATTTGTTCGAGATAAACCCAAACAACGGGACCAAAATGACCAGACAAGCTGTCCAGTATCCCATCAGCGCAAATCGAGTCGGTAGCGGAAGTGACAACGAGCTGCTTGACTCAGTGAGGAAGTCAAACAGCCATGCAAATGGATTCCACGTCTGCAACAAGAAGCAGCTCCACGGATACACCACACCACCCACCACAACTGCAGCTGTAAGCACAAACTTGGCACTTCCGTAAACAGATAGCGGTTGCATGATTGCGGTAGGCGACGGCGCTCCATGAGACTGCAAGAGCGGAATTAAAGCAACACACACCAACAGTGATCCGAGCATTCCAGCTTCCAACGCTAAGACAAAGTCCGGTCGGTCTGCGTCGAAAATGAGCCACGAGTGCAGGACGCTCGGTGGTAAACTGACCACGTCATATTCATTTAGCTACATAACAACACGAAAAACCTGTTACAAACTCGTGCAACCTAAATGTTCAGTGGATCCAGATACTGGAACGTACTCTGTTTATGGTGACCAGAAGCAGATCGAAAGCACAAAGTCCAATGCCCTGTGCCACGAGAAGTGCCTCTCCGACGGTAAACGAGCGAGGCAGAAGCTTGAAACCTGCAGTCAGCACAGCTGCCACCAAGGCTCGGCCACCCGTCGCCAACAAAACCCTCCACTCTGCCTCAACTGGACTGAGTAAGCCGAGCACCACCGGTAGCAGCACCACGTCCACGAGAATATTTACACTGAACGAAGTCACTGTCCCAAAAACGATAACCTTGAAGAGCAGACTAATACCGATGGAAATGCTGGTCCACGCGTAAAAGAAAGTAAAACACGAAAAAGTATCTTCCAGGTAGATTCCTGCCAGAAGGCGACTCAGCAGCACCAGAGGGGGAAGCATGCAGCCCACAACAAGTCCGGCGTCGCGATCTTGCCTGTAAGGCGCTCTTAGAGATCTGGACGGAGCCTGAGGTCGATAGATAGACCATAGGATAGCGGAGAAGCCAAGGACATGCAGCACGAACAGCACGTGCGACATCGTTGCGGATTGAAGCAGCCAATGCTCCGCCTGGAGCGACACCGCCGCCGCGCTCTCCTGTAATTCTTCCTTATGAACTAGGTGTGTGACCCATGCAGCCGTCAGCGACAGCACCAGCGCCTCAGCCACTTGAGCGCGGCGACTCTCGATCGCTGCTTTGAGCATACCAGCACCCTAGTTTGGAATAATTTGCAAGTCAAATTATCAGGTTTCAATAATATAACCACATTTTCAAACTCAACATTCATTTTTCATTTACGCAACATTTCGGTTACACGCTCCCACTTCAACGACATGTTACCATTAGTACGCCTGGCCGGCGTATTTCTTAAGCTGCACCAGCAGGTCCTGGTACACCCGCTCGTTCGCATTCTGGGCCCACGTGAAGTCCAAGTGCGAGAATGCGTCGATAGTCTTCTCATGCACGATGGTGCCGCTCGGGAGCCCGGAGCGGATCTGAGCGATGTCAGAGGCTGTCGCGAAGGTGTCTGTCGCGCCGATGTAGAAGCCTGTGCGAGGGTAAACCATTTTTCCGACTGGGTAGGCAGGCGGTTCGAAGCTGCCGTACACAGCCTTGTTCTTGCAGATAAGTGTCGAGCAGAGGTTGATGCCAAGAGCACGCAGACAGCTACAACCGTGGTCGTACGACGCGAAGGTGTTGTCGCGGATACCTTGCGCATAATGAGCCATGTTCCTCACCGACGTGCCGGCAGGAGTCTGGGATAGATAGACGGGAATGCGCGTAGCATTAAGATTATTGGACGGCCCAGCGATGAGACCGATGGCGGAGTCACAAAACTCGGCTACGTTGCTGCACACAACGTCCGACAAGAGCACGGTGAGCAGGTCACTGTGTGGCAGGAAGCTGGCAAAACCCAGATTGAGGAAGGACACGTCGACCTTAAGTTTGGCCAGGGCAACGAAGAGTGCAGCAGTTGCGTGGCCAGTCCAGGCAACTGGGGCCAGTGCTCCGAAGTAGTCGACCTTTTTCGCGACTTCCTGGTTCTTGGAGAACCCCACGAAAGCTTGTGTCGTTCCTTCCGAGTGACCGACGTAGCTCACTGTCGATCGACCGGTAGTGTCGAGGATGCGATTCAAGAATGCCGGCAGGTCGTACAGACCCATGTCCTCCCATGTGAAGTCCCAGAACTTGTCATTGTCGGTGGAGTAGTCGAGGTGCGTGCGGGACCACGTTGTACCGCGGTTGTTACCGAGCCAAACGTCAAAGCCAGCATCCGCCAGCACGTACGCCAAACTCTGATTGCGAAAGTTGGAGACGAACGTGAAGCTGCTGTCAAGCAGTCCGTGCTGCACGAGGACAGCGGGTTTGCTGGTAGCGGCAGCGGCACCCGACTGACTTTCGGCGTAGGTCTTCGGGAGGCGATACATCGTGAGCACGTAGCGATCAGAGGTGGTGACTTGGTGCGTCTCAATCGCGTAGCCACGGGCTTTGACGATCTCCACGACGGACTTTCCCACGTCTGGGTCCGCTGCAGCTATCTTAGCTTCCTGGACAAGCGCGACTTGTTCCGTAGCGCGGGTGACACTCAGCAGAAGCACAAGGCTCAGAAGTAGCACACCGAGAGCTTGAAAACGCATGATGGACGATGATTGACAAGCAGAGGTCTTGAGGAAGTAAATTTCAGAGTGAGAATGCTCTTGTAAATGCACTTGCCTCTGTTTGAGCCAAGAGTAAATCCATGTAAATGCGCAGACTGATCCCTGGAATTCAATGCGCAAGTTGCACGTGCTACATCTTCGAATAGTACCAAAAGGATGACATTGAATTGTGTTTCTTTCTCGGTCCAGAGTCCTGAGTCAGGGCCAAACACTCAGAGGGATGTTGAAGCTACTTGTCCAAGTTGAAGCTTTGCAATGGAGTTGTCATGAATTGTGCACCTGTCATCATCTGGTCGCGGTTACACTATTCAGTGAATTGTGTTGTACTCACCTTCGACTTTACCTATACTTCAAAAGAGCTTGACATACCGCTCATAGGGTCTCACCAGGATGACGCGAGTACAGTACCTGGATAACAGAGCTTGGCTGAAAACGCGTTGCAGCCTGGGGTCTACACAAAAAGCTCACCGAAGATGTTGGCCTGGACTCATATATCGTCGTATGCAGACTTCATTGTGATGCAGTTGGAGCAAGTCCAAAGAACGCAAACACACCGAGAAAATAGAGTCTCATCTTCAATGGACACCCGATACTACTGTACACGTGGTAATCAAACGCTGATGTCGAGGAGCACGCTCCAGCCTGGAGCGTGCCTGGAGCCCAGGCAGCCTGGCAGGCTATGCTGACTCAACTTTTTTACATCTAGTATTGTACTACTGTACTGCAAGTAGTGCATCAGTTGTGGTAAATAAATCAACACAGAACTTAGGTATGGGAGAAAGTACCCCATGAACTTCATCATGGCATGAAGTACTTGATCACACAAACACAGAGCCATCACTGTCCTGATGGAATCAGCCCCAAACTTTGGGCCAAAGCTCACAGGACTTTCAAAGATGAGGTACCGACCGACATGGGTGTCAGAAATAAGGTGCGTTGATCCCTTATCCTTAGGGGCACCACCAATTGATGGCATTCTATTCACCTTACTTCTTCGACGTAAACCCGAACGGGTCAGGTAGCTGGCCGTATTTGCTCAGAATTGAAAAGTCCGAGCTTTCACCTACCGATGAAGCAGATTTACCATCCTTCTCCTCTATGACAGCCGCAGTAGGTATGTTTATCGAGACAGCAGGGTGTGTTTGCAATACGTTGGCAACCATGGCATCCTCACCGATCATTCGAGCTTCGATGGCGTGTCAAAGAAGCCCCAACCGGTAAAAACTCGCCTCACAGTACAGCTCACGCAATTCCTCGACGGCATCTGGCAGCTTGTTATCTCGCAAAAATGCGAGAATTAGCCGAAAGACCCAAAAATCGCGGTCGAAGAAGAACGATCCGTCTTTGTCAGGGCGAAGTTTCGGAGATTTCGTGCAAAGCTGAGCAAGGATCGAGAAGCGATCTCGAGTCCAAATCTTCACAGTCGACTTGAACAACTGCACCAGAAATGAGCCCAAGTCAGCTAGACGGGAACAGCGCACATGCAACTAACGAAAAGATAACGCACCTGGCCACCCACATTGAAGACAATCACTGTTTCCTCGGGCAAAAAGCAAAAATGCTTGCTCACATTCGTCTCAAACCTACAGGAGATACGAAGCAGCACTTGAGCTTTTACGTCGCTAAATAGTGGCTACCTTGTGCCATAGATATGTACATACTCATTGCGTCTGGCGTCAAACTCTCGCTGTGCATCCTCCACGCTCACCCACTCGGCTACCACCTTCTTCTTTTCCTCTACGAGCTAAAAGCGCAACACGCACCAGCCTCAGCCGCTAAAGCCTTTCTGCATTAGTCACTGCAGCTGACCTTCTTCTCCGCGCTCTCGATCAGTGTCCACTCACGCTCAAGTTCACGCCGCAAGCCCTCGCGAGACAACATCGTCTCTTCAACTTCGCCTCTTCAACATTTTTAAGGTTTATCTTGGAAAGATGAAATTTGACCCAGGTGAAAAAAACTGGGGTTTAATGTTCCCGGTTTATCCCATCGGTTTTGGTCCAACCAATGGCTGTCATCCCCCCAGTACTAAAGCTTCCTGCAGACACCATGGCGATCTCGGGTATGCGATGGGGCGATGAGGAGGACGACCTGCTGCCGCAGCGCGTGGAGAGCGAGCCGGACTCGAAAGGCGTGCGCCAGATTGTAGAGTGGAAGGTGAACGAGGCTGGCGACAAGGTCAAGGTCACCAAGAAGGTTAAGAAGGTGACGGAGGTGGAGCGCATCAGCAAGCGCGCCCTCGAACGCAAGAAATGGGCCAAGTTCGGCGACGCGCTGGACGACGGCGATGGAAGCAACGTCACCTACATGCCGCATGAGGAGGTGACGCTCGAGGACCCCAACGCTGACCAGGTGCTGCCCGGTGAGAAGAAGGAGGAGGAGAACATCTTCGCTGGTGTCAAGAACTCGTCCATTGTGGTCTGTCGTCACTGTGGTATGGTTGGAGATCACTGGACGCTCAAGTGTCCTTACAAGGACACGCCCAAGGAGGAGCTGGAGCAGGACATGGCCAAGCGCGCCGAGTCTGGCGAGGCGGCTGCCCCCGCTGCCGCGTCCGCCGAGCCTGCTGCTCGCGGCTCTGCTCTGGACGGTGCCTTTGGCTCCAGCAAGTACGTCCCTCCTAGTCTTCGTGGCCGTGCGAGCGCTGGTGGAGACGCTGGTGGCGACAACTCACGTGATGACAGCGCTACGCTGCGTGTGACCAACGTGTCGCCCGACACACGCGAGGACGACCTTAAGGAGCTGTTCCGCGCTTTCGGTCCAGTGGCGCGTGTGTACCTGGCCAAGGACCGTGAGACGTTCCAGTCTCGTGGCTTTGCCTTCGTTAGCTTCATGTACCGCGAGGACGCCGAGAAGGCTCTGAACAAGCTGCAGGGCTACGGCTACGATCACCTTATCCTCAAGCTGGAGTGGGCCAAGCCCTCCAACAAGCCCGCGAACGACGATGCTGGCAGTATGGGCACTACGTTCCGCTCCGGATACGGTAAGGCTCTGCCGCAGAACGTGGCTCCGCCTCCGCGCAAGTAGGTAGCATGGCGTTAATAAAGGTTGTCGAGCTTCCTGAATGCATCTACCGGTAGTAATAAGTTCATGTTTTTAGCCTTGGTATTCTTTCGTGTCAAGACTTCGAAGTGCTCATTAAGCTGCTTCGTCACCCACATCAACAATCACAACGAGCGTGTTGCTAATAAATCTTCTACATCGCTACGTTTCCCGATCTTCCAGACGGTGCTGTAGTGGCGCATTATCTAGCGTAAATACTCAAATTGTATACTTTATCAGGCGCGTAACCTAAAAAAGACATACAAAGGTTAAGAATGCCGTGAATTAAAACAGATAACTCTTCCACCACTTCAAACTGCTCTATCCCATTCTATCCTTCACAATTCAAAGCGTCGGAAGGAGTTCAACTGGACTTGCCTCGCTCGAACGACATTCCAGCTTTTTGAATATGAGCGAGCAGCAGTTTCCCGAGAGTCTGGCGTGGGTGGAGCGCGGCTCTGTCCTCATTCGCCGCATGAATTCGGAGCGCATCGCTGAAGATCCGCGTGTGCGTCGCTTTCTGCTCAAGCTGTCGCTGCCTCCGTCGCCCACCGAGGTGACGGCCATGGAAGCGATTGCAGAGGAAAATGCAAATGGCGACAACGAGGAAAAGATGCCGGTACCTTCACCGCCTCCATCTCTGCTTCTGGATGCCCAAGAGAGTTTTGAGGCCATTGAGGCAGCCAAGGATGCCAACGACATCAAGCAGGAGAGCGAGAACACAGCTTCCAACACATACAGAGTATTGCTGTGGACCTACAGACTGCAGGCATCGCTACAAAGTGCCGTACAATACGCACTCTTCGCCAAGACCAGCGAGGACGGATTTTTCATTCAAATAGCCCCAAGGTTTGCGACATTCGAGGAGAGACGGAGAGCTGTTTGGTACTGAACGCGATTAATTGTTACGATTGGTAGGGTTTATTGCGTGGCGCCGCCACATATTACAACGTTCAGTCGGCTTTTGGGTGCGTACTCGTCAGCGCGTAATTGGAACGCGGCGGTGAAGGTGTTGGAGCAGTTAGATTCTCAGATGTCGAAGAGGTACGGAACTACTTCAAGCTGATAATGGTTAATTTTCGTACAATTATTAAATATTATTGATGCTGAAGATTCGAAGACGGCGCGTGTGTATTTGACTGCGGGTTGTTTGACGGAGTAAAGAGGATGCACCACAAGTCGCTGGTGTTTGACGAGTTTTGCGGTACGTTGACCTGGTTGTAAATGCATTTAAATAATGAAATTGGGCTAACATGTTCTGCTATTAATTGCTTGGCACGATAGATGGACGGATTGCTTCCATCTCGTACTGCCGCGGACCTATTCCATCGATGCATTCCGGGTTCGTGGTAACCTCGACGGTGGCGGCATGGCTGGACTTAAAACCATCGAACGTTGCCATTTTACTGGCGCCAAATAACGAGCAAATGAGCGTGTTTGCGACGTGTTGTACGCTCTACTGCAACGATGCGTCCTCGTTCCCTGAGAACTTTGGAAATGAGCTGCTCAGCGCGTATCTGCATCATATCAAACTCGCAGAAACGTGGCCGGCTAAGCTTCAGCGAACATTTAGCGGGAATGACCCGAAAAACGCAGCATACACTGGTGGATTGCCGCGGCCTCAAGCGCGGTACATTGCGGATTTTGGCAAGTTGCTCGAGATGCGTGACCGGAAACTTTCAGAGTGCGCCGACTTGCCAGCTCTGGAGGAGAAAAAGCAGAAGCTGACGGGAATCGCCGTGACACCAGCCGCTCGGCCGATCTACATCCGCCAGATTGATTTATTGTCGGACCCGAATTGTGGAGATGACGCTGCCAGCTCATCTCCTGCTGCGCTGTCTCCGCTGGCAGACATTTGTCGACCGTATTTCGTTATTCAGAATGAAAAGGGCGTTCTGTTTTCCAGCATGGTGAACGGAGTCAGAAACGTGGATCTTCACTCTGGACTGCACATGTACCGGGTGGGAAGACAGTTCAAAGATTGCAGTGACCTAATGCTCAAGATGTATCATTTACCGTTTGGGCGACAAGGGGAGTTGATTTTTGAGTGTCGACTACACGCCAGTATTTTGCTAGAACTACAAGTTGTCGAGGGAGAAGCGGGACTCAAGGAAGACGACAAGGGTGTCGTCACTCTAAGCCTCGAAAAGGGAGACTTCGACTGCATCTCCTCGACGTTCTCACTACCCAAACAGTTCACGGTCCGCATCTTGTACTCACACGACTCTAGCGCGTTCCCTGCAATGGAATCACCTTTGCCCATTCGACAAATGGAAGAGATCACCTCGGCTGGTGCGTCGTCGGCGGCAGCAAACGGTACCGCATCTCATAGCAGCTCATTTGCTGCGCAACGACGGCGCGATAGTGCGAAGGCTCTGCGGTACGATGGCCCGAGTGCTGTCACCTTCCTGTTGGGCCAACGTGATGTCCGGACGCCGTTCGGAGACCTCACATTAGAGAAAATTGATGTGATCCGGAAGGCGCATCGAAACCGTGTGGACATTTATCTTCTTTTCCACGTGGATGCTGGCCATGGCCAAACGAAAGTTTTGCCACTGCGTCATTTGTTCCGCTTTGCTCTTCCGGATGCTGTTCGAGAGAAAGTCGTCACGATGGGAGCGAGTGAAGAATCATTGGACGAGAACGTGCCATCTTCTTTTGACGTCGTTGCAGGTACGTGGTTTACTTTTGTCTGTTGGCTAGTCGACTTCTAACGTGTTGCGGGATGAGTTTACAGGAATAATGCCCTTCGACGAGGAGTACGCACGATGGCTGCAGCACTTGTATGAAACTGATTTGGGTACGTATAGCTTTTGTGAATATGCTGTTGTTAATCACATTTTTAACCTCGCTGGCTGTTCTTGTTGTGAACGAAGATACTCCAGGAAATAATAACGACGATGAGGTGTGCACAAACTACGTGATTTGACTACTTTCACATGCATAACGACTGACATGCTGAATTCCTTTGCAGTTTGTGAGGGGAATTCCAGTGACTGACGTTCAGCCTAGCTTAGACTATCGTATCGGTGAGAAATCCTTTCTTCATTATCGTGCAGTTGGTAGTGCCCCACTCACACGAGTATTTTTTCTTGTCTTGCAGTGAGCATTGAGACTGAAGTGAACGAACCGCCTCCTCCTGCTCGAGACCAGCAAGGCCGCCGTCCTCACACCACGAAAGCGTACGTCGGAACGCGAAATCCATTGTCACTTTATGCAAGGGATATCTGACGAACTAACTTGTGCGTCTTTTTTTTTCAGCCGCGGCGCGTCAGCTTCGTTGATCCACCAGCTTCCAACGTACACCTTCAGTACGGCCAAAGAACACAACGACCAAGGGAATCCAGAGTACGTTTGTTTCATAACAGCACTCACACAATTTCGCGTGCACTCCACTTACGTTCTGGTTGCTTCTGCGTGTAGTTGTTTGATCTGCCGCTGCAGCTTCGAAGTCGGCGAGGAGATTAAATCACTGCCGTGCTTTCACTCGTATCATTCCGACTGTGTCGACTCGTGGCTGTCGCTGAACAAGGTGTGTCCAGTCTGCCAATTCAGCGTCGACCAAACGCAGCTCTAAGAGGCACAAAGCTGTGACGTTCACAACGGTGAAAGGGTGCAACCAAATGAATACACATGTGAATTGATAATTTATCCATCTCAAGCATCAAGAGAAGCCTTGTACGAAGTTGTCATTACACGACTCGTTGATCTGCGAATGATTGTTCATCAACGGCCAACAATTCGTGCGTTTACTACTCCAAGAGGCTTGCTTAGTGATTGATCAGGAAAGCTTGGACAACGCCGATCGCAACGCCCAGCACGCCGCCCATTATCACGAGTTTCCACTCATCCTCCTCAAAGATGGGGTGGAGCAGGTTCTCGAACTGCTCCGAGCTCAGCAGCTTCATCTTCTCGCGGAGTGTAACCTCCAGGTCCATAGCGACAGTAGCGTAGCTCTCGATCTGGCGCAGGCTATCCGGGAAGATCTCCACGATGTGGTTGGTGACATCTTCCTTGATATTGGCGTACATCTCCTCGCCAATACTGAAGTTAATGATCTTTTGCGTCGCTTGAGTGGCAGCGTTAACAGCTTCTTGCACGTTGTCGTACACGAGCTCAAATAGGCGATCGGAGTACGGGCCTTTGAGAATGGCTTCGAAGATATTGCGCGAGTTTAAAACATCACTAGCAACCATCTTTCCGTACACCTCAGCGACTTCATTTTGACGACGGAGGAACAGACCGTGGAAGGTGATACCGCAGTATCTCTTGGGGTTCACCGGTTCAAAGATCATCTTGAGAGCAAGCCAGTTGGTGATAGTACCAACGAGTAAGCCGATTACCGGGAACACCACGATACGATCCGAGTACACGAACCAGATACCCATCTGCATAAGACCGAAGATTCCTCCCATGTAGGCACCTGAGTTACGGATGAAGGCCAGCTCCGAGTAGCCGCAGGTTACGAACATGTTGACGAGAAGCTGCTTGTCCTTGCACATGTTGGTCACTACCATGTCCTCCAGATCGAATACATCTTCAATGTTGTTGCGAATTTCGTCCATAAGCGCCTCAATGTGGGCAGGTGACTCCTCCTTCACCTTCTCGACGATCTCTTCCTTCACCTTGGCCGGGAGGACAGCCCACAGCTCGGGACTGTACTTCAGTGCCATGTCTTCCACAACCGTATGAATTGTGCTGAACAAAATAGGCTCCAGCTCCTTGACCACTTGTGCCGGTTCAATCTTCGCAAACACTTCCGACACCTGCAACAGCTGATGAGTCATGATCTGCACCGCCTGTCGAGCCATCTTTTCTCCCTTGTTCGGGACGATTCCTTGCCATCCGAAGCCCGTATTGGTGTCCGGAATCTGCAAGCAGCCTGTGTATTCGAGTGGGTAGAAAGTCATCCAGAGTGCCACCCAAATGTGGAAGTACGTGAACACCACACTGACGAGAGGGATCGATCCATACTTCACGAGATTCTCCGAGTCAATCCCGATGTCAGCGAGAGGCCCACGCAGTACCGTAAAGCAAAGAATTGCCAGGATAACAAAGAGCATAGTGCAGATCAGTACCGGGACGGAGGGAAGCTCCACCATCGGCGGGAACTTTACCGGCACAGTCTTGTGGGGTGATTCCCGTTTGACTTTTCCAGGCGAGTTAGCGAGCGGCACAAAGTCCGTCACGATTGCCAGCGTATCGTCGTTCGAAGCTACTTGTACCATACCCAGCAGTGTGAAGCGGAGGCTCGTAGCCAGGTCCTGCGGGTTAAGTTTTGCCCAGTCCGCGGGCGTAAAGCGCACGACCTCTCCGCCCTTGCGGCCCTTCAAAGGACCAACAAAGCGCGCATATCGACCATCCTCAAAACGCTTGAGCCACTCTTCGAGCTGCTTGGGCGTCCAGAACTCGGGATTCAGCAGCAAAGCTTGTTTGGTTTCACTCGACCGCGCCATGGGGAATACGGAGTTTTACGTGGCGATAACTCGGTGGATACGAGGCTAATAGAGACCAGGAAGGTAGCACAAGAGAGAGGAAACGCGTTGGATTGCACTGAACAGAGCAACGGACACGGGGAAGCGCAGATACACGCGCTGGTGCTGCCGCAGCGGAGCAGTGACCGCAAAAGGAGATAGACGGTAAGTGGCTGATGAAAACTGCTGAAGCGGTTGACGAGGGGAAGGTGACCCGTTTTTGTCGCTCATTTAGACTCTAATTGAGCAACGTCTTTTTCAAACTGAAAGGAATTCTCTGATTCTGCAATTTGAAATACCAAGTAAGTTTATGTTACAAAATAAAACTAGCCTTTGAAGAGCCTAGCAATACTTAAACAAGAGTTCATGAGAGTTCCGCCCATTTGTGTCGGCGCGATTGACGGTCTTTCCCATTTCTCACAATGTTGGCTGATTACGCCATTTTTCCTCTCTGAATATCTGTAAAATAAACTCGATACCGGTATGTACTATGTACCGGTATCGTGCAAGCTCGACCACCATATTTTTCACACTTATTAATAGAGCATCTGTACAGTCACACCTCCATAAATGACGCCCGATTGGCTCGGGAAAAAATGTCTTTTCATTTATAGAATTAGTCACATAAAGAAGTGACTACATGTAGCCATATTGCTGAAAGTAACTATCGAGTGTCCGCTGTCGCCTACGCTTCACCACTTGCGTTCGCACTAGCTTTGTCAAAGATTGCAGCATGCTCTGCTGGTCTTTAGTGTCCCCCTCGCACTGAAACAGAAATGTTGAAAGCTCCACGCAATAAGCAAGGGCTGTCGATGCAGGTACAGGTGGGTCATCTTCTTGGTTGTACTGTAACTACACAGATTCATATAGCTCACCCTGATCCAAAGGCTGGACAGACGACGTTAGATTAGGAGAAAGAAAGCGTACCTCGACGTTTGAATATGACCGGGTAATCTTGTGACTCGAGGCATTGTCAATCAACAGCAGGGCCTTGCGATTTTGAACAGCCATCTTTAAGTTGAAACTTTGTACCCACTCGGAGAATATTCGGGCTGTCATCCATGCTTTTTTGCTATTGTAGTATTGTACAGCCTTGCCTTTTAGCGCACGAGCACTCCCGCCAATAAAACAATGTGGGTTTTCTACTGTGTCAATCACGACCGGGTCTAACTTGTGCGTACCCGTTGCATTACAACAGAATGCTATTGTGATACGAGCTTTATCGCGTTCCTTTCCTTTTCTGCTCATAGTTGCCAATGTCTGCTGAGTGTGGCGGTGTCATGGTGCGAGCGGGGATTATAAAAGGAATATTGACGAGATTCAGCTTGAATTTAAAAGTGAGAAGGATTCTATGGCTGGTGGACGGTCACCTGTCCAGATAGAGAGTTTTATCTTCGGAATTGACTGTCATTTAGCGAATAGAGAGGGTTTTAGTCAATTAGAGGGGCTGGTATAATGAATCTCATATGCTTTGAGATACTACATTCAAGTTAAGAGCTAGTGGTCGGCTATAGAGGTTCAAATAAGGAGGTGTGACTGTATTAGTAGTACAGACTGTACCGGTAGTGCAATGGGTTCGTAGTTAGCCCTTTTAATAGCGTAGTGAATGACAATTTTGGAACATAAAAATGCAAGATTGGTGCACTACGTCTGCCACTGGCTGTAGAGTGGAAGTGGCTGGATTGCTCCCCTAAATAAGCGTAGCCTGTACCTCAAATACCCCTTTATATCAGATCACATAGATTAAAGGTAAATTTGACAAATCGCGAAATACCTGTGATTTTCCTATGAAACTTTATCAAGTCGCCCCCTACGCTTACTGAGGGAAACTTCTGTACATGCAATAAACCTGAAAATGCCAGTTTTCTATTTCAGTGATGCCTTCTCCACCAACACTCGCAGGTGCAAGTCTCTTCGGGGTGTACTCACGTAGGCTGTTCTCATTAGACTGCTCACTTCTTGTTGCAAAACGAAGAGCAGCCTCGTGTGCAACGTCGTCATCGTTCCAACCACTACGCTGCTCCGCCAGTACCTAAAATGAGAGTCCACGTTAGGTCAGCTCCTTATCTATTTAAATACCAATGATACGTACAGCAGCATGGAGGGAGGTATATAAAGTGACGTCAGGTCGAATCAAGCTTGACCAGTGGGTCTGAGTGCGTAGGTGTTGCGCGAAGTTGCACCCCCTTCGAGCTCCACGATAGCGTGAACGCGCCCCCAAAAGGTGGCCATCGACTGGTCGGTGCCAATGGCTTGGTCCTCTGTGACGTTCACCTGCGCCTGGCATAGGTGAATTTCTTCACCTCGCTCCCAACCCTATTGCTTTCGTTATGACTGGTTCTGTTGGGGCTGGTACCAGAGGGAAGGGGGGGGATTGTGTACTAGCTACTGTGGAGCTAGTGGATAACGGGGTCGTTTTCACTACGGAATAGTGGAAAATCATACGCAATCACGTTACTTTAGAGTTACTTACAATCACTATCACTACGCCGGTAAAGCCGGCAAAATGCAAATCGTGCAATGGATGTCCACTAAATAGTTCATTGTACTACCAGTATAGATGCTCTTTGATTTCAGAAAAGACTTCATCAATTATCTTAAACCAATCAACAGTCGAAAAAAAGCACCTCATAAAAAACAGTCGAAAGTCATACTGTACATTGTACACCGAACTTAAAAAAGCGCAAGGAAAATAGTGTAATTGGTCGCTTTTCCAAAAAAGCTATGAAGGCGAGTAGTGGCTGATTCTCGTGCTTACCCTACTCAAGTACTAACAGAAGATAGCTAGACAAAAGGCTGAGCAGGAGGGCACTGGCTCAGATTCGAGAATGCTGTGCGGCGACAGCAAGATCCCTCCAGAGTGTATTCAAGACTTAGGAGATGATTGGCTGCAGTACCACTAACTTACAGACCCCATGAGCTAATCTGGAGGCCAGCAGCGGGTGACGGCTCAGGCGAGCTTCCAGAACCAGCACACATGTACATGCACTTCACACTCCTACTCAAACACGGCTGCTTCATCATCTTGAATGCAGTCCGTGATCATCTCACAATGCTATGTGTAGTACTAACATGCCTTCTGTCCAGCAGGGCAGCGCTTGTCCTGGCAAAAGTCATTTTTCGTCGAGTAATAGTAGTAGCTCTCATTAAATTTTCACTTAGCTTCTCAATGTTCCGGTAGCGGGAGGGCCTTCAACATCTCACTCCAACGCTCAAACTTCACATGAACAATCGCTTTTCTTGGTCAGCACGTCAGCCACAATGTCGTTCGTCCCGACATGATCTGTCCTCAACCGCTTATCTTCAACGAGATGGCGAACGAGATGATACTTGCTCTCCATGTGCTTCGTCTTTGACTGTTTTAGCTGATAGGTAGATACTTCCTCGATTGTCTCCGAACAGCACAGGACCCTCAACTTCCCATTTCAGCCCCACACATAGTACTAGCATCCACAATAGATTCTTTGTCCCTTCATTTATCGCTACGTACTCCGCTTCGGTAGTACTTTGAGCATTGATCTCCTGCTTCCTTGAAGCGTACAACCACTACGCTGCTCCGCCAGTACCTAAAATGAGAGTCCACGTTAGGCCAGCTCTTTATCTATTTAGCTACCAATGATACGTACAGCAGCATGGAGGGAGGTATATAAAGTGACGTCAGGTCGAATCAAGCTTGACCAGTGGGTCTGAGTGCGTAGGTGTTGCGCGAAGTTGCACCCCCTTCGAGCTCCACGATAGCGTGAACGCGCCCCCAAAAGGTGGCCATCGACTGGTCGGTGCCAATGGCTTGGTCCTCTGTGACGTTCACCTGCGCCTGGCATAGGTGAATTTCTTCACCTCGCTCCCAACCCTATTGCTTTCGTTATGACTGGTTCTGTTGGGGCTGGTACCAGAGGGAAGGGGGGGGATTGTGTACTAGCTACTGTGGAGCTAGTGGATAACGGGGTCGTTTTCACTACGGAATAGTGGAAAATCATACGCAATCACGTTACTTTAGAGTTACTTACAATCACTATCACTACGCCGGTAAAGCCGGCAAAATGCAAATCGTGCAATGGATGTCCACTAAATAGTTCATTGTACTACCAGTATAGATGCTCTTTGATTTCAGAAAAGACTTCATCAATTATCTTAAACCAATCAACAGTCGAAAAAAAGCACCTCATAAAAAACAGTCGAAAGTCATACTGTACATTGTACACCGAACTTAAAAAAGCGCAAGGAAAATAGTGTAATTGGTCGCTTTTCCAAAAAAGCTATGAAGGCGAGTAGTGGCTGATTCTCGTGCTTACCCTACTCAAGTACTAACAGAAGATAGCTAGACAAAAGGCTGAGCAGGAGGGCACTGGCTCAGATTCGAGAATGCTGTGCGGCGACAGCAAGATCCCTCCAGAGTGTATTCAAGACTTAGGAGATAATTGGCTGCAGTACCACTAACTTACAGACCCCATGAGCTAATCTGGAGGCCAGCAGCGGGTGACGGCTCAGGCGAGCTTCCAGAACCATCACACATGTACATGCACTTCACACTCCTACTCAAACACGGCTGCTTCATCATCTTGAATGCAGTCCGTGATCATCTCACAATGCTAGGTGTAGTACTAACATGCCTTCTGTCCAGCAGGGCAGCGCTTGTCCTGGCAAAAGTCATTTTTCGTCGAGTTATAGTAGTAGCTCTCATTAAATTTTCACTTAGCTTCTCAATGTTCCGGTAGCGGGAGGGCCTTCAACATCTCACTCCAACGCTCAAACTTCACATGAACAATCGCTTTTCTTGGTCAGCACGTCAGCCACAATGTCGTTCGTCCCGACATGATCTGTCCTCAACCGCTTATCTTCAACGAGATGGCGAACGAGATGATACTTGCTCTCCATGTGCTTCGTCTTTGACTGTTTTAGCTGATAGGTAGATACTTCCTCGATTGTCTCCGAACAACACAGGACCCTCAACTTCCCACTTCAGCCCCACACATAGTACTAGCATCCACAATAGATTCTTTGTCCCTTCATTTATCGCTACGTACTCCGCTTCGGTAGTACTTTGAGCATTGATCTCCTGCTTCCTTGAAGCGTACGATACAACATTGCCATCGTAACGTACCCACTTACACTTTTGCGATTATCCTCATCATTAGCGTAGTCT